TTAAAAAAAAAAAAAAAAAAAAAAAAAAGGAAAATGCTCTTTCCTTACCTTACCTTCCTTGACTTTATTTATTTGAAAGTACTGCTGCAAGATTAACAATCTTCCATTAATTCAATGGCAAGCTTATAATTGTATAGAATATATATCTGTTGTGGCTGTGGAAACTCAATGATTCAGGTAAAGTAGTTCTGCTGGCATCTCCCTCTTTTTTTCATGACCCTTTAAAGTAATATTTCACTTTGTTCTGGTTTCCTATTATTCATGAGCAATTCTAAGTTCTTCACATCCTCCCACAATTTCTGGTTGAATATAGGTTTCACATTGAAGTTGTTCTGTACTTTTTCCTTTCTTGAATGAGCTTTGAGGTGTCTGTTTGAGTTTCTCCTGCCATCTGGTATTCTGCACTGAGAGCCACGATCCACACTGTTAACTCCTCACCGGTATCATGTCTTTTTGCATACATTCAGAGGGACTTCTAAGATGCATCAGAAATCTACTGGAAAACCATTTGTAGTGGTCCTAATTCCCACATCTTGGGCTTTATGACATTTTGTGCTGGCTTGAGGATGCTCCCCTGTTGAAAAGCAAGCAGCTCAAAATGTGCCTTCCTCTTACTTTCTCATTGTCCAACATTCCTGCCCTCTTCCTGTTTTGGCATGCAGAAGAACCTGCTTTAAGACACAAACCCCACCACATTCACAAAACTAGATGGAGTGGCTTAGTGTTTGCCTTCAGGCAACAATTGGTGTTTATTCTCAGAAAGTTCTCCTTTGTCAATGCAGAGATTTTACTAATGAGCTGGAACATTGGCTCAACTCCAATAACTTGTGTGAAATAGTAAAATATTTCTTTTTCTTCTGAATTCACATTCACTGTGGGGCAAGACAGAACAGTGTGTGGGCTAAGTGTGGTTTGGATATAAATGTTCAGTACATGTTTTGATAATTTTCCCATTTAAAAAAGGTCTTAGACTTCACTCTTGTGTACTGCAGGGCAGAGGCTCATCTATCTATTATCTCCAAATGCAAACTGTTCAACAACTAGGATGTGTACTTTTATTAAAATGTAGTGTTCTAATAGGATTCCACTCTCTCCAAGGAGGCTTTTATATATACACCTGTGCTTATAAATATACACACACACACAATCTCATTAAAAATGATTTTGCAATGGGGGAGGAGGGCATTGAGTCCAAAAAGCTAAGTTTTATATATTTTATTCATAAAAACAGATTTGCAACAATTTATTAAAAATTGATCTCATGCAGTATAAGGTTATACAAGAAATTCTTCATTTACATTTTATTCTGGCAGTTCCAGTCTAGTTTAAAGCATTTTGTGCACTAACATCATTGGAAAATGCCATTGGGGCACAGCCTCTTCATAAATTTACAGTACATTTTTGCTGCAGTATAAAAGAACAGAAACATTAAATAGCTATATTCACTTGGTTGGTCTTGTTATCTGCAGTAAAGTAAAAAAAAAAAAAAAAAGTTATGGGAGAAACTACAGTATCATTGAGACAAAGAATGTACTGCATGGTTTAAACCTAATAAACGTCACACAGTCAGTATTCACGAAGTTACAGACACACACACACACACACACTCACCTCCAGTGGTCCGATACTTCTGAATTATTTTTTTTTTCCTGCTAAATTGGAATAATATTTCTACAGAGATCTTTGTGTATACATTATATACAATATTGTAATTTTCTCTTTTTAAAAATTAACATTCCTTTTAAAATAAACCAGGCCCTGATGATATTAATAAAGCAAGAGAATACTGTCAACACACATTGAGTGACGACGTCAGTGTTTAGTGCTTAAACAGAGTAATGAGTTCTAGTTTATCTGTGTTTATACTTACATGGTTTTTTGTTCTAAAAGCTACAGATATTTCCATAACCTCTCTTACTGTATGTGCCAAGTGAAATATTTTGTGATGCTCCTGATTGTACAATTCAGATGCATATTCATGTTGGTTTTGGCCACTATGAGGTGCATTTTGTTTTTAATGGAGATTTATGCTAGCTTGTCAAAGCTGCAGTTAAATCCCTCAGCTAATGAACCCCTTCGGCTGTGCTTCAGTCATTGCTGATTTGTAGACCTTTGTACCAATGTCATTCCAAAGGTTTTGTCTGAGGGGCACAAGTGTTGATTAAAGAAAACTGAGAGCCCAGTGCGTGCTTCATGTGGTTTTTTTTCCCCCTACTTTTAGCAAACAGCCCTGGCAGTGAGAGGACACATTTCCAGTCCCTTGGAAAAAGAAGCTGCATGTGTGTCTCACCCGTGCCTGAGGGTTTGGCTCCGGAGTTGGTCCAGACGGTACATCACTATCGCTCCTCCTAATTACTTTGGTTCAGGGAAAGGAGATGAAGTATAAAATCCATTGCTTATTTTCACAGTCCTTTCAGGATTCAGGTAAAATATTCTGTTGGCAAATTTGATTTGTCCTCTCCTATCCTCTACAACTGTCACACGTACGCAGGTACGAAGCAAACATAGTGTATATTCACATCTATGTGCCCTGCAGGCTTTGCCCGCAGCAGCAAAGTGCTGTGCCCTAATCCCTCCCCCCCAAGTCCACTAAATTAATTTTATTGTAGTTATGTGTGACACAATTCAAACAAATTAGGAAAAACAATTCATCCTGTGGCATTAAGACTTTACTATGCACCTGTCCTCAGTTTCCTGGGTTGTCAGCCCTAGGACTTTTTCAGACAGTTTAGTGTGTTATGGTTGGTAATGTTTATCCTGAAATAGGTGCAGAAACTTTGCTAAAAGCGAAGCTGCAGATGGTCAGCAGTCACTACCATTGCCCTGGAGAAGGGTGAAGTGCTCTGCCTGCAATCAGCAGCTCTCCAGCTGGTGGCAACTCAGAGCTGGAGCTTCAGGCTCTGCTTGGGTTACACGTACAGCTGCAAGGTAAAGGTGACCCTGCTCACAGCACTGCAGAGTCTCAATGGCACCCGAGGAATCATTTCTCACAATTCATCTTTCCTACTACACATCGTCCCTGAAATGAAAAAAAAGCAAGACTAACCAGTGCAGAATGTTTCCAGCAATTTAACACAACTCTTGTAAAAATGAGTGCATCTATTCCAACATGGTATAACTCGACCACTACATTTTCCTTACACGGATACAGTATAGAATTGCATGTTCTCAGCAGCCACGTAAAGCTCTGTGACATTTGAGTGTTTTTTGTTGTTTTTTTTCCTAGTGTCTTTTTTGCAAGATCCATATATCCCAGCCTCCTTGTTGCTAGTAGAAATTTTGGAAGAAACATTTTTCAGTGACTTCTAGGTGAAGAAATAAAAACTCCATGAATAAGGCTACAGATCAAACTCTTTGTGTCCTCCTTTGCTTTTTCACACGAGTTACGTGGGCACTCCTGTGATGAGGGCCTCAGCAGAAGTTCCTCTGCAGTAAGAGCCAATGTTACATGTTTGTAGCAGAGTTCTAGGTCAGATGTTTAGTCCAGTCATTGAGTACTTAAAAGCAGTTCAGGAAGCACTGATCTCTCCCTCCTACAGCCCTGAAACCATCACTCGGAAGGAGGGTGGCACGTGTCTGTGCCGAGGGCTGGCACTGGGGCTTACACACGGGCTGGCACAGCTGGCATCAACTCCTCCTATGGACGGCAGGTAGGCGTGATGAAGGATGGGCAGCTGCAAGGACAGCCGGCGCTGTATGCTGTGGGAGAGACGGGGAGAGGAACGTTAGCCAAGGGGCAGATGGAATACATCACATGGCTGAACTGCTCCCAGGCTGCTGCGAGGGAGCTCCCTGGGCCTGCCGCTGTGACCCACAGGGCTAATGCCGAGAGCACTGCGCTTGCTGATGCTGAACTCTGCCACCATGACGTTGTTTTCCTCTTGGGGAATTTTTCTGACAGGTTAGACATGACACTTAAAAAACTAAGTGGGCTTTCTCAACATCCCACAACCTTCTGAAATTTCCAGCCACCTCCAGGTTAATTGTTAGACTGCTAACACCAAGAAAAGGGAGGACCTTGAGTTTGCAAGGATGGTGTATGGCTTGGTGACCCCCACCCTTGCAAAGCGATCTACTGCCTGCAGAGCCCCATCCAACTGTGTAGACGTGCATGAGGTCACAGACTGAGTGAAGCCACGCATCACTTTGCACAAGGATGTCAGTACTAAGGATGGCACTTCTGCAACTCCAGCTAAAGCAAACACAGGTGCATGGTGGGAGGGATTTGGGACTGATGCCTTTTTCCTCTTTTAAGTAGTTAATCTTTAAAGTTTGGGTCTGTGCTTTTGAGGTGATAGATGCTTTTGAGTTCTGTCAGTCAATGCTATGGGACTGAGGAGCTGGCATTCTAAAAGCAGTCCTGCTCAGCACCCATACTAAAATTCAGTGTTCTGGAACTCAACATTCTGTATTTCCAAGTGGATTGGCATCATGATAACAGGTATAGTTTTTTTAAAAAAATAAATATTAAATCATGCTCACAGGCTCATATAAGGCCTTTTCTTGGAGAGGATGGTGACATGAGAAAAGGGCTCTGTTACTCCTGTGCTGTGGATATACTAGCACCTTTCACAAAATCAAAATCCTGTTGAGGTTTGCCAATGTAAAAAATTTTTTTAGTCATTTTATCGTCAGGGTGGCTTTGGAGTCATTCACCCTTGAAACACAGAGACACTTCCTTAAGAGAAGAGAGATATCAAAGTGACTGAGCTGAAGACTGGCTTTTGGATTTCAGAACAAAAATGTCCATAGAAAGCTTTGTATAAAAGTATATAATACAGTTTTAAAGATAAAAATACAGTTTTAAATTTATGTTTGCTCATTATCTGATATAATGACAGTGTACAGAAAGGTCTTTATAAGAGGTGTTTGTTTGAAAACTATCCTTTGGACAGCCTTTTTGATTCAAATGACATTTAATAGCTTTTTTGCTTTGTGTTATGCAACAAAGACAGATACTAAGGCATCCATTGCACTGTTTGGGGACCAAGCAGTATAGCTTTTAAATTCAAACAGAAAGAAATGTTGAGTTTTTCTCTTTAGTTTCTTCACTACAAACTTTGGCCTGTTTATACAGAGGTGCAGTAGAAGTAGTTGTTGTCTGCCTACCCAGGAAACTCTTTCTCATTGTTTCTCAGTGTTTTCCCCCTCAGACCCCTTTTAAAAGTTTCATGCAATGTTAGCCCTCAGTGGTGATCATTCTAGTGCTGGCAAAGCATTCCTGGAACTAAACAAAATCCATTCATTGTTATTTTGCTACTGTGCTCGACTCTTCCTGGTGCTATCAATGAAGTCATGCCTTGTTCCCAAGGAGTGCAGAGGGGGCATGGCTTGCTGTCTCCCTGTGCTGAATCCTTATGAGCCTGATGCTGAGGATTGTCATTCTGTCTCTTGTTGAGGGGTCAAATGCAGAATTGCCTGAACTTATTTTCCCACCAGTGGAAATGCTTACTTTGTTCAACTGTTACAGACTTCTCATTAAAGGGCTTTTTGAAGCTACTCCAAGAGAATCCAGTTGCATAATCAAGTGAACAGGATTTTTTTTCATCCATTTCAGTGTTAGCCATACCATGGACAAAGCATGTTTATTTAGCTATGCCAATGGGGGCTGTAGTGGGTGGCAAATTTTGCTTCAACTGTACTTAAAAGCTTACTTTCACTTGAAAACTTGGTTCCTGGAATTGGGGCAGAGAACTGTAGCCTGGAGACTTGCACACAATTAAGATTGTAGACTAAACTCCTGGAGTGAAACACAATACAAAACAAAACAAGTAGCAAAATCCAAACAAACCTGGTATTTTTGCCTCATGTGAAAGTAAATTTTGTGCCTTGCCTCACTCTTTAGTTTTTTTTTTCCTCCAATATCAGTGATTTTCCCTTCTTCCACTCCTGACACATTTTGCCAATGCTTTGGGGGAAGCCCTAGGTATCAATACAGGCTGGAGGATGAGAGCAGCCCTGCCAAGAGGAAACTGGGGTGATGGTGGATAAAAAGCTGGACATGACCCAGCAATGTGTACTTGCAGCCCAGGAAGTAAATCATATCCTGGGCTGTATCAAAAGCAGTGTGGCCAGCAGCATGAGGGAAGTGATGCTTCCCCTTCTGCTCTGCTCTGGTGAGACCCTGCCTGGAATACTGCATTCAGCTCTTCTCATAAGAAGAATGTGGATCTGCTGGGGCGAGTCCAGAAGAAGGCCACAAAGAAAATCAGAGGGCTGGGGCATGTCTTCCATGTAAACAGGCTGAGAGAGCTGGTGTTTTTCATCTTGGAGAGGAGAAAGCTCCAGGGAGACCTTAAAGCTTCCTTCTGGTACCTAAAGGGGACTTAAAGGAAAGCTGGAGAGGGCCTTTTTGCAAGTAGTGTGAGGTTTCAAACAAAAGAGGGTAGATTTAGACTACATAAAAATGATTAATTTTTATGTGAGGACAGTGAAACACTGCCACAGGTGGCTCAGATGCCCCACCCCCAGAGACATTCAAGGCCAAACTGGATGGGGAATTACTGGTCTACTTGAAGTTGTCTCTGCTCTTTGCAGGGGAATTGGACTGGTTGACCTTTAAAGATCCCTTCCAGCCCAAACCATTATGTGACTCTAGGAATTTGTTTGAAGTTGTTCATCCTATATAGATATGTATGTGAAAATATATATATGGTCAAGTATTTTGGAGAGGTAATGGTTGGTAGAAGTGGGTCTAGAATCACAGGAGCTTCTTCTTCACCCAAGGAGATGGAAAGCAAAGATGATTCCACACACAGAGCACCCCCACTCATCAGGATTCTGTGTTAGGGCAAGTGTCCTCAGCTCTGTACACAAATACCATTTATTGAGAAAACAAAAAATGAGGTAAAACCTTGAGTTCCAGTGCCAATGCACATAGGAACACAACGTGATGCACATGGGAATGCACAGCACCAGATGGGGGTCAAAGCATTTGAAATATGTTTTGGTTTTGTTATAGGAAACCACTAATAAGATCCATCGGTAAGTGGGGGACTGAAACAAATTGCTGCAACAGTCAAACATCTGAAGTTCTGTGGGAGTGTATAAACTGTGTCTAAGCACTCAGGGATTATTTCAGTTAATTCTGCAGCACATTAATGTTGAACTTTAGCAAATGCAGGGAAGTTGGAGAAGCTTTAAAAGACTACAGTGGAGCAAGATGTTCTACTAGCAGTGAACTAACCATTCTAAACCTACCTTATTTTAATGACACATTTGAGTAAGGTCATAGACAGATCACAGATAAACCAGTCTCGGTGAAGAAACTGAATAACAAAGGCCTGTTCATGCTGAGGCATATGGCTGCAATGCAATGATCCAGTCACAACCAACTCTTTTGAATGAGAATTTTTTGTTACTTAAATTAACATAACTGGCTCCAGTTATGCTTTGAAGTTACGCTTTGAAGGTTACAAAAAACCCTGCACATAGAAATAGTCTATTAAGATCACAAGGTTTAGTGGGGTCCTGCAGAAATCTGTCATCACCTCTACTTAGAGATCTGGAAGACTGTTACATGTGGTTGCTGTTAAAACGAGAATGGATTAAATTTTAATGGTGCCAAAAACTAATGACCAGGACTGGATGTAGGTCACTGATGAGAAGGGACAACATGCAGGAATGAAAGCACAGAGATGGATGTCTTTAAGGGTCACAGAAGATAAACCATTGAACGTGGCCATCATGCAGATAAGCTGACTGATGTGATCTTCAGATAAGCAGGACTGCCCATCAGGAGATATGAGCAGTTTGATGCTCATCAAAGCAGATGACTTTGCATGAGAGACAACTCATCCTGCTGGGAAAAGAATTATGTCTATTTTATACTGCTTCAGGCTGTTCTCTGGACCTGACATGTGCTGGCATGGTACAGTGTCTATCCACACAGCTAAGCATCCCCCAGGATTGTTGCTGAGCATTACCTGGGAGAGTACAAACGGATACAGCTGTGCTGGGGAACATGCTAAAAAATGGAAAATCGAAGTGCAATGCCTGTGCACTGGCACTGCTTTGCCTGCTATTGGAGGTGTTAATTTATACTGTGTAGACAGTGTAAACAGGAAAGAAAGCACCCAGCTCCTCTTATCTTATGGTCTGGCTGGGTATGGAACATTTTGCATGGCAGTATGGAAAATCAACTGGGTCCTGCCCAGCAGGAACTGCCAAGGGAACTGAGAACTGTCTATATTCATGCTCTAAGGCTGCTTTACAGTCATACAAACTGCATTTTCCCTAGGTGCAGGGTTCCAAATCTGAGCCAAGCACAAAAAAATTGTTTTCAAGATTCTGATTGAGACAATGTCAACATTACCTCATCAACAAATGTGAAACAACTTCCTTCACTGAGGGGTGTGTATATTGTTGTGCCTTTACTTTGGGCACAGCTGTAAAATAAGGGCAAAGCTGTAGAATAAATTATAAGAACAATAACTCTTACAGTGAGCTAAATGTAGCACTAATGGTAAGAAAGAATGAAAAAATCCCAAATCAGCTCTTTTCTGGACTCTATAAGAGCTTTCATACTAGAAGATGTCAGTTCTCATGAGTGCTGACAAGCACAGGAAGCTGGGATGTTATTTTTTCCCACAGCCATTAAAGAGTTAAATCTTCTGCAGGCAAGTGATTGTCTTGACATCCTTCTTTCACAGGTTTATGACCAAGAGGAAATATTTATTAGAATAATGACCTTGAGATTTGTGTTCTTGAATAAGAAATAAGTTTCTCAGACTGTGACTACCTATCAGATACCCTCTGTATGAAATGAAATGAGACAGAAACTACAGCTTGCTTTTAGCTTTTTTTTTTATTTTTTTTTTTTCCAAAAATTATACATTTAGCAACCATCAAAGGACAGAAGTGCTGCCAGACAAGTTGCAAAACAAGCCCAGAGGTGTGGAAGTATATCTTAAAGAGTACAAACCTTGGAGAGAGGCAATCTCCTGTCAGAAAGTGGGAAGTCCTGAAGACAGCTATACCTCTCCTCCCTGGAAGATCCACTGTTTCTGGGCAGTGTGGCTCTGGTACTCATTCTTAGGGAAGGCATTGGCCCTCGGACCTGCCACAGTCACAACTGTGCAAATGCTGAATGACACTGTTTAGATTTATCAGGACTTTATTAATTGCTTTCCATAAATATCAGAGATATTTTTATCAGAGATAAATGTTCAGATTTGTATTGACCCACTCTCCAAAACCTTTAGGAAATCTCAGTCTTCTCATCAGTTATCACTAGCCTAGAGGAAGTTCAGTCATCACCAAATGTTTTTCTTTTTCTTTGTCTCTATTAAATCTGTATTGAGACAATTGGATTATCTGGGTGTCTGTGTTTTTCTTAGCATCTTTCTTAATGTAAGTGGGCCACATGTGGATGAGGCTGCATTCACACTACATTATTTCTGACAAATGGTGCTGAAAAAAACCCAGGCCTTTAATAGCTATGCATTAAAGCACTCTGCTGACCCCATGAAGTCATGAGAGCTCTCTCAGCAAGAGCCCTGCTTTTGTGAAATTACAAGATATTTTATCTACTGTGGGATTTCGTTTTGGTGCATGTGTGTGTGTGAATTAGCTTCTTTGCAGGTTTGGTTTGGGTTTTTTCTTTGAGTGCAAGGACAGATTTAGAAATCCACGTGTTTTCCTGCTCCAGGTAGTACAAGACAGTAGCTACTATCTGCAATCAAGGTTGCTGTTGCGGATGTAACGTGACTCATTCTAGTAATCTGTTTAATTTATTCTGTTTTTAAATAAGCTTTTAAATTGCCCAGGAGTCTGACAGCTATTAGCTCAGACACTGATGAAGCGATGCTCGTGTAACCAGGCTGCCGTAGGGAAAGAGCTGATCCGGGCACACCCGAGAATGGCTCTTCCCCGAGCTCTGGCCCATGGCAGGTCCTGCTCAGCTAGGGGAGGGTAGGACACAAGTTTATTGTATAGGTTCCTAGAGACAAAAGCTGACACCAGAACACTCTTTCCCCTCTGTAAATCTAGCCAGTGTTTTGTGCCATCCTCTCCTTGTAGCTGCAGCATTGTTTCTAAGGGAAACTACTTAGTGCAGGCTTTCCTGTGCCAAAACTCAGGTCCAGCTGCTATGGCAACGTTGAAAAGCCCTCAGGACATTTTTTATTTCTCATCTAGCTTAAGAATGTAAAGGAACAAAATGTCTATGTACACTATGAACCCCTCTAGCTGGTGTGGGGAAGGACTTGGACTTCTGACAAGAGTCATAAGACATTTGTGCACATATGTACAACCTCTTCTCTCCTCCACACACTGGTGGCTTAGCACAGCTCATCTTGTAACTCTATATAGAAATTTTGGACATCAAGCTATAGATGTTTCCAGCAAGAGAAAAGAAGCATGTTGTTTTGCTTTAGGGGCACCTTAGGATCTACAGCCCCTGATATCCTCTAAGTTCCACTGGGCTGGTGAGCTGGTGGCAGGGAGGCATCACAGTACAACGTTGCTGCCTACTGGAGCTTCAGGAGGTGCCTTTCACATTCCTTGCTGCTGATGTTTCAGGCTCTCTCTGTAGCCTGGGCTGGCTGAAAGGGGGTTATAGTGAAGGTCTGTCCATTAAAAAAATCGTGGAAGGGAAATAATGGGCTTTGATGAAATGTGTGAATTTAAATTAACATTTTGTCAGCAAGGTAATGATGTATACTTACTGTTCTGGAGAGTTGATGTCTTCTATGGGATCTTTGCTTGTTCTGGAAGGGTCTGATGAGCCCCACTGTGCTGGTGGATTTTGATCAAGATGATTTTTCAGAATGGCTTTCTCACCATCTGGATGGACAACACATTCAATTTTACTTTACTGTGACAAAGTGGCCATTTAAAAATTGTTTCATTTTAACTTTTTCCAGATATCCATAATGCCACAAAGTAAACTCATACTACCTATATTCCAATATAGTCTCAAGCTTTGCCATGAGAGTTTGGTACTCCTATGTTTTGGATGATGTGCTCCTCCATAAGAACCACCATGAAGAAACAGAAAAGTGACAAAAGTGACAACACGCTCTCTCTTGGGCTATGTGAAAAAATAATGTAACTATACCATTCTTGCAATTAGAGATTGTAACCTTTTCATAAACCCTTCTTAAGGCTTTTCCTACAAAAACTATAATCTCATTGATGTATAAACCCTTGACACTCCTACCATCACACAGGCAATTAAGTGCTATATTTTGACTATCTGCCACTGCTATAATTTTTAGCATGGAAACATGATTCATATCATTTGGACTGGTCCATAGGCTGTCCACAGCAAGGACAACTAATGATGTCATTACACTCTTTTGTTTTCTGCATAGTGATAACAAAACAGTTCATAATTCTTGATTCCCCTGGGTGTCCTGGGAGTCCACAGCTAGCTGTGCTGAACCCCATGGCATCATTCCCCCTGAGAAACATGGGCAAACACAGCCATTTTGAGAAGATCCTTTCTGTTCCTGCAAGCTTTTTCAAAGTCTCTTTCTGTGGTAAGCCAAATAAAATCACACGGAAAGCATCTGAATAATGAGGGCAGTTCACAGTTTTCATAAATAATTACAGAGAGCTCCAAATCCATCACCAGCAGTTGTTTGCCACACAAACAGAGAAGCAGTGATTGCTGCAGGCATTGAGGCAGCATGGAAGAGGAGTCTGAGGTAAGTTCTTGAAGAGGGTACTGGAGGATTTGAACATAATAGTGGGTATGAGGGGGAAAAGCAGGAGAAGAGTGAAGAAAAAAATAAAAACTACAAGAAAAAGCTGGAACATTTTGAAGGGTTAACCTGCTTTTCTGTTGTACTCATGTTCAGAAGCCCCAAATAACAGGTCCCAGCATACTAGGAATATATGTGTTATCAACAGGCACTGGGGGACAAAACAAGCAGCAGAAACACAAACTGAGGAAAGAAGCTGGAAGCATAAATGTTTTGAGGGCAAACTCCAACATCTGTAATGGCCTCCCCAGCAATTATTTGATAGTGTTCACTTCATGCTGTGAAAAGCCTAACAAGCAACCAATAACCAAGTGTGCAGGTGAGGAGGCAACACAGTGCAGACATGGGCATCAGTAGCTCAGAAGAGGAGACAAGATTTTTCACCCATGTTGCAGTGAAGAGAAGAATTTGTGTGAGAAAGGAGGTGACCAGAACATATGAAACTGCTTTGGTTGGGGCAAAAAAATGGCAGTAAAAGAGAGCTGAGGAATTCAGTTGTGCAAGAGGAATGCTTAAAATTAAGAGATGGCAGAATTCAGTGATGGTTTAGATGTGAAGGGAGTACAGCAAAGAGTCAAATCTGGCAGTGGCTAAGACAAGCAATGAGGTTTATCATCTCAGGGCAGCCTGGAGTTTGCTGGTGTGGCATTTACTGTCACAAGAGTTCAGTTTTTATTTTCGGCACATTGCATTTCTTTGTATATCAAGTTTGACATTTGCATAAAAGTCTTGTGATGTCTATAAACAGACATGTAGAAAAGAACAGTTTTTACTTCCATGATTAAAACCAACACTCAGTCCTGGGCTGATCTAAGCTGACAATGGAAACTGCTGACTTTTTGATATAGACCAAAGTAAAAATTTGAGTAATCCTTGTAATTAGGGATGGAAGAGCTCTAAATTTAATTATTTTAGGGTTCTAACTCCTTTGGCCAAGATAAGCAATTTAACGTTTTACAAAGCTGCTAAAGATATAATTCTTCCTCAAATGATTGGAAAATGCAACTGTTGCTGTTTGGGAGTATGTTATTTAATAGAATAATCTGTGTTGTACACACTAAAGGAGTTCCATGTACTTTCAGATGTGCTGAGAGAGAGAGAAGGAGGTGGTCCTTGTCAAAAAGGTGGGGGATTTACTTTAGAGTAGAGCAGAAATCATATATTCTCTTCCTACTCACCTCTCAACACCAACTGCCCATATATCACCGTGTGTAATTCTTAATAGACTCTTTTCTACCACTCTTGCAGATGACTTGCCCTTAATACACTGAATAAATTTCTGCATACAAGGCTACCAAATGCAGGTTTTATGTATATCTAGAAAATACAGACAAAATGCACATAAAATTGTCACTTTTTTTTTATTTTATTTGCTTCTTTCAAAATTAAAAAAAAAAAGGTAATTCTTATTTGTTAAGCATTTTGGGAGAGGAGTCGTTAAGTTTTTATTTTGCAGCTATGGAAACTAGAATATCTTTATTTTCCATTTACCTTTCATTTAAATAATGAAGAACAAGATTCTCACTTAGTCATATGCTTCTGGGAGCTGGATCTTAAAGAAAAAACACTATTGCCATATGCACTTAAAAAACTTAGAAAACTAGTTTTATAAACGTGACAACTACAAGGAAAGAAATTAAGGGTAGTGGTAAACATTTGATTTCCCAGTTTCCCCTGGAAAGTGTAGCAGTGTATTTGATAACTTCCTATAGCCTCTTCCTCTGTCCATTAAGTATGTCACTAGGAAAACACCCTTCATTCCCAGGGCACTGTCTGCCACTGCAGATTCTACCCAGTAAATTGCACCAGGATGATGTAACTACCTTTTAAATTGAAATTACATTGGCCAGAAGCACCTTCTAAATAATTTTCACCTTTGTAGACCTCAAACCGGAACTCAGAAGCCTGGATGAGTGATGCCCGAGCACTTTCCATTCAGAAAGCTGTCAGGAGAAAAGACAAATACATCTCAAGGGCCTCACAGAGCACTCAGCAATGGGCTCATTATAAAACAAAGCTTGCTGCCAGTGGTTGGTGAGAGCCAGAAGGCTTTACCTCAGGACCTTTGCCTACCTGTAGCAAAGAAACAGCTTCCATTTACTGAGCTGTGAGCTGCAAGAGCACACCTGATGCACACTGCCCAGGGGCTCAGCCAGAGGGTCACTGCTCCCAGCTGCTCTCCTCTCCCTCTGCCAGGGGTGACTCAAAATCACTCTGCAACCTCCTGCCACCAAGATTACCTGGGCAGGCTTAAATGAGCCATGCATTTTAACAACCCTCATTCAGCTGCAGGCAGAAAGCACCAGGTGACTGATGATGCTTCAGTTTCTTCCAAGAGCTTAGAAAACATATTTTTTTTAACTAGATGCTTGTTTTGTTGATGTTTGTACACTGTAGCTTTATTGAACATCTTCATCATTACGCTTTAGTGGCAATATTCCTCTGATGGCTTAGAACTGGATGACAGAACTACTCTTCATCCAATATCTTTCAATTCTACTGTTGTTTCTCTTTGCTAGAAAGCATATATTATGCTTCACAAAGGAGCAAGTGTGGTTTAATAAGGTCTTATACCATATGGCAGAGATAACTTTGCTGATTTACTAAAGAGCTCAGGAAACTTTAAAGCTAGAGGTAGATTTTGAAAACCTGCTGTAATTTTCCTCTGTTCTGTTGTTTGGACTGAAACATGACTAGCCAGTCTCTGTTTTTCATGTGAATAGGGTATTAAGAAAGTAAACTGAAAGGAAAAATAAAAATCATCACATCATCTGCTGGGTAATCAGAAAAAAGTTCTCCTGAAGTAAGCACACTGCACTGGCAATCTAAATCATATCTTCTGATAGTTGTGTTTTGAGAGGAAGATTTTTTTAAAAAGAAAAGCCAGTGAGATTCAGCTCTGACTTATACTACTTTAAATCAGAAGAAATTCCCTTTACTACAGATTTGTTTCTGTGCAAGAAAGGTACTGAACCTCTGACAGGTTGGTCTCCCTGTTGAAATAGAAAGAGCCTCCAATTTCAGGATTGAATCCATTTGTTAGGCTTCATAGAAACTAGCATACATATCTCTATATATCTCTATAAAGAAAGGAACTATATCCTTGTTTCAAAACAGCATCCCTCTAAAGGAGTTATTTTTGAAAGCCCTTACCTTTGAATCTATTTTTCAATCTCAACCTTAACGCTTGAATCGCATGAACTTCACAGAAATAATATTTCCCCCATCTATCACAGATGAACTCTGTTTTGCTTTGCATCTGTGAGCAACATGCCTTTGAAAACTGTTTTTCTTTGAGCTGCTTTTACATGGGGAAAAACTAACACCAGGAAACATCAGAGTGGGGTGACAAGTGACAGTATGTAGGCATATCTGACATGTAAATGAATGCTCCCAGCCCATTTACAGCAATGAGTAAAGACTCTTTCTGCCTTAAAACAGGCAAGGTTTTCTGAGCAAGGATGGGAGAAAACCTGCAAAATGGGTTTGCTCATAAGAAGGGACTGTGGCAAGGCTGTCTCTGGCTTCTTCTGTACATCCCATAGAATGGCTGTCACTCCTTAACTTCTCTGCTATGCTTCTCTGAAATGTACTGGCCAGAGGAAGATTCTTCTGCAGGATTTCTTCTGAGCTTTGCTTTATATGAAACTCCTTCAATCCATGATTTTGTGAATTATGCCACATGCAAATAATTTCATGTATTAAAATATCAAAACGAAGTTGAGTAAAATAGTAAGATTCCAAGCATATCAAAATTATCCAGTTCCCACAAACCACACAGCACCTTTTCTCTGTGTATTTGTCTCTTCAGTAGCTTTTATCTCTGCTGAAACTTGCACAGCAGAAATAACTTCCACCTTCATGAACTCTCTCCTCTTTCTGACACACTGACATAGGTGCAAGGAGCCCTTTTGGGAAGCTCTGGTTTTTGACCATGTAAGGACATTTCTTCCCTAGCACTGTGTGGCAAAACCTTCCTCTTCACACAGCATCACAGCCGAGGCACTTGTCCTCCTCTTTTCCTAATGTCAGCCTGGCAAACACAGCCGTGCCTCCCAGCCTGGCTCTTGCTGAATGGCTCTGCCAGTTTTAGGGGTGGCCTGAGCCAAGTGCTGGCTTGCTCCACACCCTGTCCCTGCCTCAAGACCAGGCTATAATGTGACTCTGCCACTCCAGAAAGGCCACCAGATCCCAGAAATGCCAAGGGAGAAGTTAATGTTGCCCTGTGCAACTTTAACTTCTGACCTGAGCTGAGGTCACTAGCAGGCACGGTGACTCAAAGTCATCTGAGGAATGTAGGAAATGAAGTCCAGGGGATGTCCTTTTAAATTCATCTGGGGAAGCCATTTGAAGTCTCAGAGCCATAGTCCGTGGAGCGTGCTGAAAACTGCTTGACCACACAAAGCCATGTAACAGTGCAGCTAAAAAGCCTGCACTAAAAGAAAGCAATCAAGCCATAAACCACAAATCACATTTTCCTAATTGCTTTTCTTACATAGCCAATTGCTGTAGATGTCTCAGGGACATTATGCATTTGTGAAAAAGAAATGAGTGTCTCAGATAATATCTCTCTTTAAATGAGATGTACTGAAATGGGCTGTAAAGAAGGAGACCCTGTGCCAGCAAAGAGCTCCTGGGATACACCAGGAGCTGTTGCTGTTAAAAACTAACCAGGAATCCCAAAGTTATGAAATGCTGCCTGAGGTCAGGCAGATACAGAAGTTCACAGCTGTATCTACCTATTTCGGATAAAGTAATTTCACTTTCGTGTCTTAAATCCATATGTTTGATGAAAATGAGGGTGGTGGGGAAGGAAGAGATTAATAAAACAACCTCCTTTTGCGTTTGGCTATAGGAATAAGGATTTTTAACTCTGGGCAATTTTTATAGATTAGAAGCCTACTGAAGCGTACTATGACATTAAAGTTTGATTAGGGCTTGTTCAAGATGCACTGCCTAAATCCTCTGTTATGATCTGTTCTGTGAAGAGCAGTGCCCTGAGTTTGTGTAAGCAATAGCAATGGGGTTATGCTACATGACATTCTCCATGTGAGCTCCTCCAAAACAGCAAGGTGTTTTATGAAAACAATTCACATAGAAGTGAACCACAAAGGGAATGTGAAAAATTATCAGCTATGATTTTTAGGTCCAAGCCAGCTGCTATTTTGAGCCTCTCTGCTGTGTTCCTGCTCTCCCAGCTCACTTTTTTTCACAAGATCAAGGAAGGTGCAAACCTCATCATCACCTTAAAACCAATATTGGACTGGCTTCCCCTGTTGCACAGTGGGTGTGAGAGAGATGGTCACTTCTAGGTCACTCTAATAGATTATTTACAATTCTGAAGCTTCACTCAAGTACCACCAGGGATGCATAATTTCTAGTTTCTGTACTTTCCTTTACTGAAAGCTCATGAAATGCATAGCTACAGAAAGCATAGTCATGTCATTCAGAGTTAGCTTTCCTGTAGCCGTAAGGGCCAGAATTTTTTTAAGTACCATTTAAGCGATGTCTGTTTGAATCTGCACAAAAGCAGCAGTGACTCAGCAGCGTGAATTCTCCAAAGTCTTGTTATTTTGGTTGGAATGGCAAATTTATATTAAGCGCATAGGTTGGCTATTGGGAATGGGGATGGTGAGACAAACAGACAGGAGATTCAGGAGTAGATAAGGGACAGGGAAATATGGAAAGATAAGAGGCAGAAGAAATGGAATTGGAGGGACAGGAAAAAGCTAGCAAGGGTTGCTGATCACAGTGGCTCAGAGCCTGGAAGTATGAATATTTAATGTCACTTGTGCCAGAATCAGGATACACTATAAGATGCATGCACGGATTATTTGCCACTAGGTGTGGGACCAAGCTTCAAACCACTTCTGCAAATTGGGATCCAGATCTTCCTCATTCCCAGGAGAGTGGATGCTCTAACCTTTTCATATAAAGCTGGACAAGGGAAAGCATCTTTCTCCACCTATCCCATTTTTTTGTGTGGAGCTTTATGTGGTAGGTCCATTGAGAAAATTGTGTCCAGCAGCTGCATAGAATATCTGTCCTGTAAATCCAACTAATAAATAGTTCCAAACTACTCTAGACATTAAGGCTCCATGCTTACGGATGATTTTAAATAGCACCCCACAGCAGAAATGTTAAAGCTGGGGCGCTGCACTGGGGGAAAATTAGGAAAAGAGACAATCTTGGATGCTGCTGCTTAAAGCAGCAGTTAGGCATCAATGTCTTTTGTAGACATAGCCACAAGTAAGTGCAGAAAGGTTATATTTTATCCTTGATTTCTTTGCCAGCCTCCTACTGCTAATGGAGTGCATCTTGCTGTGGGAAGCATCCATCCTAAAATTATACCCAGTGTATTTTTTGAGAATCATTTTTTGTTTCTCATACCCAAACTCAGATGGGCATTTGGCACAATGCAATGTATCTTTTCTGCTTGAAATATTATTCATGATTTATCATTTTTCCTGGAGCATCTGACATGAGAGGAACATTCTATGTGTTCCTTTCAAACTGCCTCATCCCACTCACTGATGTTAGTTCTTGCTCCTGATCTCAGCCCAATAATCACACGCCTCCAGCAGCTATTTACGTTTTCCTTTTCCTCCTTTCCCCTCTTTTTTTTTTTTTTTTTTTTACTTTTAAAAAAGACACTGGGAACTCTCCCTTTTTCTCCTTTTTGCCACAAGTTATGCAACCCATTGTATACCCAGGCTAAAACAAAAGGTGCAAGAAAAAGTAACCTTATCCAACCAAAATTTCAGTATACTTCAAAAACATATGTGAACTGTTGCTGTTGTTCTAAAATTATTCTTCAGATTTATTCATAGGAGTAACTTCTGTCCCACTGAATCAAGCCTATGGTGCCGCATCAATAGGAAGCCTGAGCCCTGAACCTTGCAGTGTTACCAACATGCAAGATACAGATTCCAAACACAGAGCAGCCAGTTTTTCACACACCATTGTAATAGTCAGCTGTACAAAGCTATTTGCCAGAAGTCACAAAGTAGATCCATTCTAGAGTCAGATATGGAAGGTGGGTGTCCTGGCTTCCACTTTTATTGCACTATGCACCAGATTTTACTGCTTTCCAAAAAGCAAAATGGCTCTAATGGAAGCAATTCTCTTGCATGTATTTCTTCAGGGAGTGATGCAGGAGACACAGGAGAAACGACTTAGGAATATTACAGTTGTCATTAAATCCTTTTTTATCAGTTCCTAGGGAAGAATTTTCATACATGAGTGGCTTCAATTCTGCATTTAGAATCCAAATCAGCACTGAAATATTTACATGCTTCTCTTTTATGTGCTTGATAGCAGTGTCCAAAAGCAGGATTTCAGCATCCTAGTCAGGCAAGCACATATTAAGCTCGGCTTAAAATTCTGCGATTTTCCTCTCTCCATGCAGCACAAAAAAACTTGACTTTGGAACATAAGTACACTTCTAAAAGTTTCCCACTTCACCATGTGTTTTACAATAGAAGACATATATACGGAAATAACTACTCAGTGTAGTTATTCCATGTAGCTTATTATGTGAATCTGCATACTCTCAGTAATTCAACCAAAATATTTAAACTGTCTTACCAAGAAAGCACTTTCTGAGTGCTCTGAAACCAATTCAATGAGATTGCTATTCCAAGGTTTGGCATGTTAAGCTAAAAATGGATTTTATTAACACTCACCTTTGCTGTCTGTGAAGTTCCGTATACTAAGAATGTCATTGAGGTCCTGATAGTGGTTCTGCTTAATGTACGTTGTTTTCTCAGGAGTGTCCTGAAGTTGCATTGTGACCTCTTCCAAGTCTTTGTCCAGCTGCAAAACAAGGAGAGTACAAATCCTTCAAAATTCAAGAGTCCTTTCTTCAGGTATCAGCACTGAGGCAGAGCTTTCTATAATTAGATGGGAAGGCAGGGGGTAATGCAATTACTACCCTGTGACAAATACAGTTTTCTTGTAGCACTACTACACTGCCTCTAAAAATAATGCTACAAGTGAAAAATTGTGTTCAGCTGTGATACTGCACACAGGGAACAGGAGAGGAATGAGCTTTAGTAGTTGACAAGTAGTAGTAGTAGAAGCAAATCAGGTGTACTGACAAATGAGAAAGATATGGGTGTAAGAGAGCCCAGTCTGAAAACTTCTCAACTATTTATTACCTACATGTAAAATTGTGGCATACATAGCTATAACCATTTCATCCATCAAATTATCAAACATACAGGAGAATATGGCAAGTGAACTATGCCATAAGGGAATTATGGCACCTCCAGTGACTGACTGCAGTCAACTCTTCCAGGAATGCACTTTTAGCACTGAGCAGAGCACAGTGTGCTCTCCCCAGAGGCTGACTTGTACTCAGTTGTCTACAGCCCCAAAGGAAAATTACAAGAAACAAGCTTCCTAATCCTCTTTGTGAACAGTTGTGCAGGGTGTGGTGTCCAGAGTATGTCCCACTCACTACCAGCTTAACTGAATTTTAAAACTGCTGAATGTAGTTTTGTGTTATTCCTTATAGAGCTGGAACATAGCAACTCAGACTAGATGAGCCAGAGATGTAGATTCTAGCCATGGTAGGGCAAGCTCCAAATCTCATTGACAATGAAACTGATTTGGACCCTCTGGTTCTGGGAATTTAATCTATTTAAGCAAAATCCAAAAGAAATAAGCAAGGGCCTGCAAGCACTAATGTGGCTGCTCTGATCAGCCTTACCTGTGCTCACCATCATGAGACTTCCAAGGCACAGGCTGAGATCCTGTGTTAGGAGGCTTAGTAGAAAAAAAAAAAACTACGGTAGAGTAAAGGAACAGAAATAGCCAGCAGGCAGCTAGGCCTTCATTAAAAATTTCAAGGCTCTCACATGAAAGGGACCTGGGAAGCTGAACTAAATTTTTTTAACAAGGCAGAGATAACTTTTACTTTTGTACTCTTTGGTAGCCTGAGTAAATACCTTTTAGTTACCTAGGCAATTGTCATTACTTAAGATCTGGGCAAAGAAATAACTGTTGCAAAAAAATAGTTTTCTTCAAGGTATAAGAATACAGATTGGACAAGAACATGTTAATTTATTTATGATATGATCAGTTATGGTTATCTTGTCTCAAAAGTTGGGCAGTCTTCAAGACTGGTTTGTCATTGTTTCAGGCCTACCGAGCAAGGATGGACACAACTATGAATGTACATGCTATAGCTCTAATCGAATTCATGCACTTCATGTACTCAGCCTTTCCCTCAGCAGGTACTGAAAAAACCACCACCTCTGTGCCAAAAGAGTCAGCTTACATGTTCATAAAGGTATTTTTCTACCTTAAGAAAATATGCAATTCTGTTTCATGGAAGATGTAAAAATCTGTCTAGCAAGTTTTTGAGCAAATTCTCAGAGAGGTCGAGAAATAACAGCAACAGCAGCCTCAGAACTCAACCATAAACAGGAACAAAGACAGCCCTTAAGTGCCCCTGGGGCTGCGGATCTCTGTTATGCTCGCTTGTAAAGGTTATGCTTCTGAAGCTGCGGAGCTCAGCATGTCCATGTGAAGCAGCAGGGTAATTGGCCTGTCACAAATAAATAGGGCAAGTTTAATTCCATTTTGCTAAGGCACATTTTCATTTCATCACACCTGCTATGTATCTGCTGTACTAGTTGGCAATCCATATAAAGTGTCTCTTTCCTATTATTGCTACCAGGAAAGTTAACTTTTTTCTCTAAAAAGTAATCAGCATTTAAGCAGATTGCAGAATTGCAACAAAAAACAATGAAAAGTGAAGTGCCTAGGCAGTATATACAGTAAACAATACCTCTGTAATCTTCATTCTCAAGCGGTGGTTCTCTGACTGCAATCCTTCTAGTCGAGATGTGCTGGCCTGATTGACGCTGGTGACTGATGTTGATGTTTTTGAATCTTCTTTCTTTTGATTTTGAGTGAACTGAAACCGTCTGTTCTGTGTGGCTGCATCTGGATTTGTTCGCAGTGTGATGAGCTGAAAGGTTGAAAAGCCTTAAGAAATCCTGTTTTATTTTTGCAGCTATTTATTTTGTATCTCAAAATACTGAAAGGCAAACCAAGAGCTCCTTTTTGACTTTCAAGTATAAAACTCAGGAAAGTGAGATCTGCTTGCCATGTGCACTACTTGAGATGATTTCTAAATAACTTTACAGAATAGGTTGAATAAAAATGATTATGAGAAAGGAAGCATTCAAAAAAATTAGGAAAAAACTCATTAAAAAGATATTTATCTGGATTTTAAATATATTAAAATATATTCTATCAAATTTAATCTAATATTCTATCAAATGTATTTTTTTCCTTCATTGATATGCTTATACTTTCAAAGGATATATTCCCTCTTCAAGAAAAAAAAATCAACAAAACCTTTCTCTTCCCAAGCACAGTTTTAACTGAAATTTTTCCTTTCCTACTGTTACAAGTAACACTCAAGCAGCGAGAGACATGAAGCAGGAGTATTAACAGAGAGAACTCATGGGAGATTGCACTCTGGAGATAACAGAAACTTAATTAGTTTTTAGAAACCCAAAATAAACCAAATCTGCTCAAACAAATTAAATAAGCCACTTAAAAAAAAGGTTAACCTTAAACATATTTAATTTAAGCAAATATAAGTAAAATTTAACACTCAGTGACAATGTGAAAATATCACCTCGACATGAGGAGAGAAAGCTACCGCTGTTTGGCAGCGGGGAGAGAGATTCTCAGATTACTCTAGAGAACACAAAATTTATGCTACCAAGCAGCATACATATATATCTGGATACAGACAAAGCTAAAGGAGCTCCCTGCCTTGAGAGGATAGGCATAGAATCATGAATCCAAAGGTGCTGAGTTGTCTGAAAAGAAAGAATGGACAATCATTTTGTATGCACAGCCCAGACAAATTTTGTGATATAGCCGCATTTTGGAATTGATCCCTCTTATTCTTAAGGGCCTGGAACTGTTCAGGAGCTCCAGTGGCATGAAGTAAGGCCCTAACTTCTGGTCAAGAGACATCTGACTGCTCAGACTCTGAAGAGTGTGGTCCCTGGCTTGTATTTACAGAGCAAAGCTGCAGCTTGGGATGATACTTGTAGATAATACATTTAATTTTTTAGGTGGTAAAGTAGATGGAGAAAGCTAAGGTGCTCTGCTTCTTCACCTTAGTCTTTACTGGTAAAAACTGCCTTCAAAAATTCCAGACCTCTAAAGTAATTGAATACATCAAGTTCAGCCAACATGAAAAGTTGTGTGCCTGAGGATTAAGAGAACTGGTCCATGTCATCATAAGGCCACTCTCAGTTACTTTTGGAAGATGAAGTTGATTTTGAGCAGTTTTTGAGAATTGGAAGAAAAGAAACGTCACAGCTGCATTCAGGAAATGTGAGAGAAGAATATGGGGAAATGCCTCCTCTCCACCTTCACCTCAGTACGTGGGGCATGCTGCAGTAAATCCTCTGGGGAGCCATTTCCAAACATATTAAGAGCAAGAACGTGATTTGAAGCAGTCACCATTGATTTATGAAAGAGAAATCCTGCCTGACCAACCTGATTTATAGCTTTCTTCAGTGAGATGTCTGGGCTGGTAGATGAGGGAAGAGAGTTATTTTTCTTGACTTAAGCAAAGATTTAACACTGTCTCCCAGAGTATAAACTCCCATAGTTAAACTGATAAAGTGACTGGGCAAGGGACCTCTGAAGTGGATTCAAACTGAGCTGAACTGACAGGCTCAGAGGATTGTGGTAGCCAGTCACTAATGCTGTTCCTCAGTCTGGAAGGAAGTGGGTCTGGGCCAACAAAAACCTCCTAAGGCTAGGCAATGGGAAATACTAAGTCCTTCCCTTGAGGAGAAATACATCCCAAGCACCTACCCAAAGAGCACGAGGGCTGTTTGGCTGGAAAGTGCTTTTAGTATGAGCTAACAGTACCCTGGGCCAATGGAGGTGATCCTTCCTTCCTACTCAGCCTGGGCAAGAGCACACCTGGGGTGTCGTGTCCAGGTGTGGGCTGCCCAGAACAAAAGAGAAATAGGTGTAGTAAAGAAAGCCCAGAGAAAGGTCACAAGGATGTCAAAGAAGGTCACAGCCCTTATGATACTAGTAGAGACTGATTATTTAGCCTTGAGATGGAAGACATTGCAGGGCGATTACATTATTCATGTGTATTCAAAATATGATGGAAGAGAGTAAAGAGGATGGAGCCAGACTCTTCTCAATGTTTTGCAGTGAAAAGGAGGGAGACACAAGCTGAAAAACAAAAATTTTCACTTAAACATCAGAAAAAACTTATCCTATTGTGAATGTGGTCAAATGCTGGTAGAGATACTCAGAGGAATTGGGAATTATTCATCTGGAAGTAACCAAGACCCAACTGCTTAAGATCCTGGTTATCTTCCTGAGCCTTCTTAGAGGGAAGTGAATTCACTCTCACAATTCTTTGTTTCAAATTAGGCTGGTTGTAATGACTGATGTACCTAAGTCCCAGACCAAAAACTACATGAAAATGAAGTTAAAGGTAAAAAATGGTAATTAAAAAGTTTCTAAAAGCAGCAGGCAGAAGCGTTACAAGATAAAAGTTCTGGAATTTGATGTGGTCTAAGTTAAAACTGAATATAAGTATGGCCATTGAATCATCTTCACCTGGGAGTTTATAGCTAAAGATTGGGTGTTTTGCAACAGGGACAAGGTGTAATGAATTCATTCACATGGTGTGGACTAGATTAAAAAGTCTATGGGCAATATTGTTGGCTCATACTCTACCAAGATGAGCTTTTTAATTTTTTTTTCTACCATTAAGTCAGTGGAACTTATATCTTGTTGTCTTACATCTGTGCAGTTTCAATTTTCACAAAGGGTCAATGTTGAATATCCACAGAGACAATTGCAAATAGGCATAAAATGCTACCAATACAGAAAACAAATGTTTTAATCCCTAGAACTGATTTTGTCTTGCTGCTCTTCAGGAAACTGGATCATAATTAATGTGTTAATGCCATTGCAGCCAGAAATGGTATACACTTGCTGGGCAACTACAAGTGAGGCCAGTGCTCTGTCTCAAAATGGATGGAGTAGAAAAAAACGGAAGGACATGGAAGCTTCATAAACATGGATAAGCTTGTGACAATTCCTTCATGAAGACAGAATGCATGTTAGGATTTTTTCTTTTAAAAAAGTGAAGAGTATTCTGGAAAGAACCACAGACATCTTGGTCCTTAAAAAGATAATTAGATATAGAAGTTAATTTCTTAGAGGAAAAATATACATAACAGGTGTTTGAATTCTGCAGATAACTTCTACAAATTAACCTTGAATGCAGAAATCTATAATAGCTTTAACAATGTTTGGAAAGTTTTTGACTGGATAACATGAATGTGTACAAGTTAATGTAAATATGATGCAGTATAATGCTATCAACATTTGTACCTTTACATGGAGATGGTAATGAGCATTTTTTCCTCTGATCCCTCTTACTCTGCTATGGGATTTTCCTCATGTTTTTTTTTGAGGCACTCGATACCGAACAAAATGGCAGTGGACGAAGTGGACATTTAACTGGAGGAGTACAGTAATTGCCTCGCTATAAGTAAATAAGATTAGTGGAGCTGACAAGAAGGAAGGGGAAAATGTCATGTTTCATTCCTTAATGTGTCTACATTGTTGAGTAGTTGCCTATTTAGATTCATAAAAGGGCTGTGGGATAAAATTGAATTTCAGCACTGTTGACACAGGAGACTGCTGAAGATTAGTTAAAAGGAATGCACTTTACTTGGTATAGCAGAAAAGTAGTGGCACTCATCTAGCTCAGAACCACATTACTGCTCGCATCTGTCTGGTCAGTTTAGTAAATGAGAAAGTGCAGTCTTCCAGGTCTTCATTATCATCCCCTGTGCTTGATGAGCAACAGGCTTTAGTATTCACCAGAAATCTTCCTAAGTCACCAAGATTGTATTAATTTATGACATAATTGCTTGAGAGGAGAGATTTGGTGCCTCTCTCACACTAACATCTTATCTAGAGGTACAAATTAGGTAGTGTTGGATATAATCTTCGGTGGTGTCCAGATGAGGTATTGTACAACCTGTGCTGGAGCTGAGGGGAGAGCGCTTGCCAGCTGTCCTGCTGTGACTGTGACACAGCACAGCCAGAGGAGATGTAGGACAATATATACGAGTGATAGAAGAACTCTCCAGCTGTGAAAACACTCACATGGGCATTGGAAGTGCTGCATTCCAGTCCCTGCTTCAACATCTTGCTTTTGTACCTTATCCAATGATGAATTTTATTGCTAAATAGCTAAGCATTTGGAAACCTGACAGTACATGGAAAGAGGTTAGGGACTTCATGCTGGGGTGCATTGATTCATATTTGTATTTTGGGTAAAAAAGAACTGAGAGGAAAAACGAGAGTAGGGTAACTGTGGTTTAGAAGAAGATCAGAGGAAGGGGTTAAAAAAGGAATCAGAAAAGTAATTTCAGAGCCTGTGACAAGAGAATGAAAGGATGGGCAAAGGAGCATGAAAGCAAAGGGGAAAAGGGCATGGACAGCATTAATAATTCTCTTTGAAGAGAGTTCTGACATTCTTTTTAGTTATTTTTGGCATCAGAGTTTTAATATGCATTTTCATATGGCTTACCCACTTTAATCTTACAGTGTTTCAAAGTACATTCTATTGCATGTTTGTGAATGTTCCTTCAATTTAGAACAAAGTTGTGACTCTTCCCTAAGATCCAGAACAAAAATATGACTATACATGTCTGTATGGATTTTTAATATTTGACAAATGAATTGCAGAACTTGCAAAAACATCTTGTTTAGTCAGTCCTGGAGAATGAAATACTTTGCTTTTTTTTTTTTATTTTTGCAGATCACAAATCAGCTTCTATTGCTAATCTGCACCTCTAATTTCTTTCAGTGTTTACACTTTGAGATAATATTATTATTATTATATTGTTTCTCTTGTTTCTTTTGTACATATAGTTCTTGGTCCCCCAGTAGGTAGCATGCCACTTAGCACCAGATGTCTGACTGACTACAATCTGCTCAGTACATTGATTGAACATTGTCCAATAAAGACAATAAAGACAAACAAACCTCTTATAAATACTCACTTGAAAAACCTAAAAACAGCTATGTTTATGCAAGCCACTTAAAATGAATACAATTGAACATTTTACTTCAAAACATCAAATGCATTCCCTAGTACTTGAGGCTTTGCTAAGTAAGCTTACATAAAAAACAGCTTTCCCTTCATTCAAGATTGTCTTATTCATGTCTAAAGCTTAACTCTGCAAGGGAACTGATCAGGTTCCAGCCCTCTGTTAAGTATCTTCTTGATTCTTCCAACAAGGCACAATGAACCTGTTCTCAGAGCCCAAAAGAGCAAAGGGAAATGAAAGCATATCTCCCAGTCTGTGCCTCACTCAGTCTTTTAATATACCAAATAACAAATATAACTTCAGTGTCAGCATTTGCAGCATACATATAGTTTTCCTCTGATAGGTGCTGACAAAGCCTACTGTACCACCATAAATGAAAGATCTTATTATTTTGTAGGTATAGAAACAGAGAACTTGATTATCTTGTTTAGGGTATATAAAAATGTTAGAATATCCTGGGAAGGGACCCACTGGGATCACGGGTCAGCTCCTGGCCCTGCACAGGAACACCCCAAGGATCACACCAAGTGCCCAAGAGCGCTGTTCAGACACTTCTTGAACTATGTCAGGCTGGTGCTGTTACCAGTTCCCTGCATACCACTTTCCAGTGCCCAATCACCCTCTGGGTGAACACCTTTTCCTAATATCCAACCTAAAACACCCCAGAGACAGCTTTATGCCATTCCTTTGGTACCTATAACTGATCACCAAAAAGAAGAGGGAAGAGAAGAAACATGGCAGAGTAGACAACAGGACCTGTCCCCCCTGAATCTCCATTTATATCGTCACTCTTTCAAAAAATTTCCTGAAAGTTGGAAATAGAGACTATTCCATTGAAACTACAAAAAAACAACTTTTGTTTCCCCAGTCACAATTTCAGTAAAAATATAGGCATTAGAAGCTCCTGTATTCACATTTTCTCCAAAATATCATGAAGCTTTGTTTTTCCTTCATGGTCCAGAGAGCAGAGTTTATAGCTGGGCTTGGTTAAGAACTCATACCTGTCCACTGCACTTGAAAAGGTGATAACCATGTACAAATTACATCATAATTACAGAACAGCAGGAAAATAATCCAGATCCACGCAAAACTAATTCACCTACCTTAGGTACAAACACAAGGCAGAGAGTAATGGTGCTGCAGAATATTATGACTAAAGCAACGATGCAGAACTGAACATTGGGCTGGTCCCGAGTAAGGAATGAGACAGCAGCACCGATAATGCACATTATCCCCACGTTGTATACACTCATTCCGATGTACTTGCTGTCATTCAAAGCAGGAATGCTGACATTCCGTGTCTCCCAGGCGAGGAAACACCCAAATAACTGAAATGGTAAAAGAAGGAGAAACGATGATAGTTTTAGGAGGAATTGGCTGTCATCCAGAAAAAAGCACTAATTTAAAACAGGTATGTTTTCCAACTTGACAAATATAGGCGATATTACAATTCAGAGATATACACCTACCTTTTCCTCAATATCTAATTACCTATATGATTTGTTTTGCTCACTAGGACAGATTCCTGCTCTAACAAGAAATATGTGAAATTTAAAGTTAGTCCTGACTGGAAAAAAAATTTTCTAAATGCTATGGTTATCTTTATTTTATATTTTAAATAATTCTTAAAGACTGCCCTTCCTGTTTCTTTTCAAGGATTTCAGCATTGTTTTTTTAGCTATTTTTAGCAGCTGTTCTCAATATACTCTTATCAATCCAGCTATTCATTACATGATTATCACCTACATTAATAAGCAGCAGTGCCAAGATGTGTCCCATGAGAGATAAATATGCAATGTAGAAAGTGTCACCCGAGTTGTTCAGATTACAATTATAATGTCTTTTATTATAGTGGGAGTTGGTAATGGCCTTTCAATTGCAGTTGTCTAATGATTTCTGGCATAAAACATTCTTGTGGCAATTTTTTGTTTGCCTTTTTCCTTTGGTGTATTTTTAAGTTTTAGCCCCTTTGTTATTTGCAATATGCTTTTGCAATTCAGCAGGGGAAAGCCTTTAGTGGAAGGAAGCCATCTCCATCCCTTGAAATTTAATTAGATTTTTCTGCAACATGAACTGCTGCAGACAATTATTTTCTTCCTCTTGCATTCCTCAGAGGAGCTCTGGCAATGCAGTGAAAGCCAAAACGAACTCAAGATGTTGTAAATAGGTAACCCAGCCTGCAGCCTAGGCAAAGCCCTGTAGGAGTGTAGGTGCCCTGGGAAGCATGACAGACAGCAGATGGTATTAGATGAAGGGAAGGAAAGAGAGAGGAACCACCACTAAGGTCCAGGACATGGTTTCTATGTTTTCTAGCTTTTGTTTCTGATCAGAATACAGGGACAGACAAGAAGGAGAAAGAACAAAGGTGCACTCCCATTGACCTTAGTAGCCTGCCTCCCAGACCCTCACATTTGTCCACTGCCATGTCATGGAGATAATATTCTCCTTTATACAACTTCAATTTATGTGCAATACAGGAAATTGGAGGTCAATGGTGATGCTGTTTGGGTGACAAATTGCAGTTGTCTAGTATAGTTTAACTTCTGTTCTTCTGTTTGCTTGGTTTTTTCCTATGGCAAATAACCTGTACCAGAAGAACATTGTTTGGTTGCCAGACAAGCAAAAGAGAGTAGGGAAATGGCAGATTGATGTTTGCTCTACAAACTTGTGTTTCAACCCAAGTTGTAGTAACACTGGGACACTAGTAATGCAAGTTTCCTTGATTATTTGCTTAGTTTTAATCTCAAATAACAATGGCAACAAAGCCAACCACTTGTGACTCAGATACTTCACACTCCCACAGGCACTTGCAGGCTGCAGCCACCTACCTACTCATCCAGGCACTTCCAACCAGGACATGCTGCTGAACTGCCAGCTCTGCCCACCCTGAGCTTGTCTGCTGGCTTAGTTCATTCTCTTGCCTACAGCACACATGTCACCCTGCCACATGGGCATGAGCAGAGCTGGCTAGGAGGCTTTGGCAGATTAGGCATCTGCTCTCAGCCCATGCAGTATGGCAGGCTGCAGGGGATTCCCAGTCCCGGCAAGGGATGTAGAACCATTTGCTCACCCACTTCCCAGTGCTGCCATCACTGCTGCATTCCCTGTCAAGATAAATTGCCACAGGCGGCCTTTCCCAGCAACAGCAGCAGTAGCTGCCCTTGCAATCCCTACCCAAATCCTTCTCAGCAACATTCCCATCCTGTGCCTCTACAAGCTGCTGCAGGAGATGGTCCTGCTCAGGGCACTCCATTGCCTTGCTGTTGCAGTCCTGCCTCTTCAGTTTAATCTCCTTTAGTTGGACTAGAGCCCGTACCTCACTCTGGCCCATTGCCTCTTCTACTCACCTTCCCAGCAGCCCAAGAACTGCAGGAAGAACAGTAGTGGCTGCTGTGGGCAGAGCATGGGAAGGGGATGCTCTTAAGGGGTCTGTATGCAGCTACCTGGGTCAGCAAGGGGTCTCAGCCATTCAGGTAGGGCAGCTGAGGTTAGTGAGCCCGTTATCAAACTTTGTGCCTGAGCAACAGCTCATTCTCTGATGCATTTTCAGAGCCCCTCTGGTAAACCAGGTGATCCCTCGGATAGGGAAGGATGCAGGCAGCACTCCTTTGCTGTAGGGTCTGGCGCTGTGCACAGACAGAGCAGGAATGTACAGACTCCTTTTCAGGCTCTGCAGAAGCAAATAGTCACTGCATGCACCTGGGTGCACGGGGAGACATACAGTGGTGGTACCTTTTTTCAGGGCACAGACCTGTTTCCCCCAGACCCCACCATTTCAGGGGTTGCTTGTTCTCCACTCCCTTGCACTGCTCAGTTCTGCTGCAAATTTACATTTAGTCAGCCCTGAACTGACAAACAGGCTGGTCTGGGCCGAGCTGTTTTAAGGGGTAGATGGAATCCTTGTCTGTATTTCTTCATCACAGTTTTAAAGGGATGAGATCCTGATTAACTATGGAGAACATTTCTATCTTCTCATACTATGGTTAATTATTAATGAGATTTTTAGGGTTGGAAGTCATCCCTCACTCTCCTCCACTTCCCCCTGTATGAACAAATTCCATTCCTAAAGCATTATTCTGGGAAAACAGCCAACATACTTACATGAGACCAGCACTTATTACAAATAATGGGGATGAATTTATAGCTGAAGTGGTTATAAAATTATCTAAAATATAAATTATAATGGAAAAAAGATTGTTTGAAGAGTGTTGTGGGGGTTTTGGTTTGGCCCATTCTCATTTATAATTGAGAACAGCATGGAAAATGGTTAAATATCTTCTGGATGAAAGGAAGATATGTGTGTATTTATATGACAACTAAAGAAAGGGAGAGGCTCTTGCAGCAAGTGGGTTTCCTCAGAATGAGCCACTATAAATCTGGAAGCATTGTTTTTAATTTTTATTAGCATTTTGGGTAAAATGCTTGCCTAAGGAAGAGAGATCTTCTTTTCTAGAAGTCACAGCTCATCTTTGAGACTCAAACATGGATAAAAGGTGAAAGTTTTCTGCATCCGGCTGCCAGGGCAGTGGTGATTGCAGAGGTGCTCCTTGTCTGCCTGGCACAGATGCCTGCAGGCCTCAGTGGGGGCTGGCAAGGTTTTTCCTCTGAGATAAAGCCTTCCTGAGGGAACACCATGCTTTGCTTTTCCTCCACCTGCCCTTCCTATTTTACCCCTTCCTGAGGCTCAGGAAATATGCACACATGAAAGATTCAGTTTTATGACTGCAAAAATCCTGTAAATCCCTTGGTAAAATCCTGTGAAATGGCTTGGTTGAGGAATGGGATGCAAACATTGCTAGTTAAAGGTCCAGATTTCTGTGATCCCTTGACAACTTTTGAATGTGAAACTTGGGAGCTACAGTTAAAAACACAGACTCATAGTACCTAGCTCAGCTTCTCTTTACTCCAGGTACCTAAACTTTAAACATCCATCTTCCCCACATTACATTTCAAACTGTGCTTGGGGGCACCTAATTCTTGAGACTGCTGTGGGATTTAAGGACTATTTGATATTTTTAGGCTGCCTGCTGGGATTTGAAATGCAGCTGTCTCTCCTCCTATTGCTCCTAGAGGGCTCAAGCTGGTGAAGGTTTCTCAGACTGTCCACTGGCTTGGGCCTCACACAAAATACATCAGCATCCATCCTCATTCAAGACAATGACGCTGGTGATCACTACTGCGTAGCTTCATGCTTGGAGAACAAAGCACAATTCCAAATTTTGCCTGAGATGTGCTCCCTAACCCTAGAGCAGAGTCTGGCTTCAGGAGGAGACCTCCAACTTCTTCCAGAGCTGTTGGATTTAATGTAATGAGAGAGTGACTGTTTTAATTAATTGGACGCTTGTGTGGGATGTTAGTTCTGATCTCTGCTGAGAATTTTGATTAAACAGTCTTTAGAGAAGGCGTGCATAAATACACATTGGGATGGAGGCAGGCAGCTCTTAGGAGTCCTAAAGTGCTGGATTCAGAGAGGTGTAGGACACATCTGTCCCCACTGCTTTACACCAGTTACAATTCCCATCCTGAGGCTGCTGATGGATCCCACACATCTCCAAAGGAATTTGAATAACTCAAGGCTACATATTCCCTTATAGAAAGCTGTTGTCTAAAATTTAAGGACACCTCAGCCTCTTGTCAAGTCTAATGGCCTAATTTTAGTCCTTTTTGTATCCCTTTTTGGAAGCAATGACACTGAGAATGCAGCTAGGAAGACTTCCTACACTGTTATTCATGAATTTAAAGCCTTCCTCAATTTTGATGGTCTAATACACACATCTTCTTGATGTAGAAAGTGACATAAAATATTGGTTTGGATTTTCTCATAAGATATGGGGAGCTGTACAGGCAGGATTGGTTTGTTTCATCTTTTGCTTGAGGGTAGGCAGCTTCCATTTGACACTGATTTAGAGTATTAGCTTTGCAGCTGTTGGTATGGTAGGTTTAGGCTGTGTTGTCAGTGCACCTAAAAAGGCTGTGAGAAAATTGTATAAATCTGGGGAAAACAGCATCTAAAGACAATAGGATTGTATCACTGTGATTAAAGATAGCTTAGTGGTCACTAAAAGAAATCTGTATTAAAACATTAGAAGTATAACAGATGTATGGAGAATTATACATGTGTTGACATTCAACAGGAAAATTTTAATTTTAAAAAATGCTGTACTGACCAAATTTTGATACCTGGGAATATAATAAAAATGTTTGTAGCTGATGTATTGGAAAATATTTAACACTCTTTTTTAAAACTCTACCAGCTAGTTAATTTTAAATCATGTTCATGAGAATTACTGCTAAACACAGTAACAATTGCTTAGATCTACAACATATA